GAATATGCAATTAGAGGAGAATTATCTGAAAAGGCTGATATATACAGTTATGGTGTTGTTGTGCTAGAAATAATCAATTCTCGGAAGAATACAGATCTTTCTCTGCCTTCAGAAATGCAATATCTCCCCGAATATGTAAGCTGTCTTAAGTTCTCGTTAAGTTTATGACGATATATAAATAGATATTGATTGTTCAAGTACGTATATACAGGCATGGAAGCTTTATGAAAGATCAAGATTAATCGATCTAGTTGATCCAAAGATGTTGGAAGATGGGATGGCGGAAAAGGATGTAATGCAAACAATACATGTAGCTTTCTTATGCCTTCAGCCTCAAGCCAATTTAAGACCACCAATGTCTGAGATTGTTGCAATGTTGGTAACCAAAGCTGGAACACTAACTACACCAACGCCTCCGCCTTTCTTAGATCCAGAGTTAAGGATCGGAAGGACGATAACAGTTCATGGTTGACTCATTCACCACAAATGTACATATCTCAGGAAGCTAGAAAAGATTTTTTAGTGTGTTGTCAATAGCATTTGTGTCTATGTAATTCAGCCAAGGTTCTTTTTTTGTTTCTACGAGTATGGGGAAAAGTTTAGTTTCCGGTGTATTTTAAGTAGAGGAAATAAGTTAATATGAGTGCAAAGTGTTTTTGGTGATTGAAATTGCAATGTGAGTGAAGTAGAGAAATGGTCTATGGATGTATTTTTATTTTGGTATCCTACTGGGAAAAAGTTGGTTAAGAATGAAGTAGTACTTATCAATCTATCACAAATCTTGTTAGTGGTTTGGGATTTTTTTAATTAAAAAAAAATAATCAAGAGGGCAAACAACTCTTTCTTTTTTTATTTCCCGCTCGGTGTCCGGAGTCCACATTGGTGCCTCGACTAAATCTGGATCGCGCACTTCAGGGCCCATTCGGGAGTGACGCACCCATAAGATTTTCTCCATACCCAGGGCTCGAACCCAGACCTTTGACTAAGGGTGAAGCAGTCCCACCATTGCACCACAACTCATGTTGGTGTAGTGGCATTTTTGAATAAAAAAAATAATCAATAAATTCTAACGAAAATGATAAATATGTATATCAAATCTGAATCGTAAAGTTTGAGGATATATTTGTCATTTTCTTTCCCCTTTATTAATGTATCCATGGGTGTATAATAAAAACAAAATCCAAATTAATCAAGTAGTGAATAAGAATAGAGTAAAATGAATTGGATTAGTGTTCAAAGCGGTAGGTGAATAAAGGTTAAATAGTAGTCCATAAATAAGGATTTAGGTTTTTTTTTTTTTTCCAGTATCCAATATCTACATTGAGACTCGATTATTCTTAATTCACATCATGTACACCCTATTCAGACTTATTCAAGAACTTTTTCATACGTAGAGGTCAAATCCGATACCTCTAATTAAGGGAGAAAGGAATAACTTCATCTCCAGCACCGCATCCGTATTTAGGTTAGCATAGTTCTATTGACAATTAGTCTATATTGGAATATTATATAACAAAAAAAACAATAGAAAGGTCGACCCACACACGCAAAGACGCCTTCTTCTTTAGCCTAACTCTGTTTCTGCTGTAAAAGGTATTTACCACTAACCCTTCTTCTTCTTCTTCTTCTTCTTCAAGCATTACAAAGAAATAGTGTTTGTTTCAATGGCGTATGTCGATCATGCTTTCTCAATTTCCGATGAGGATATGATGATGGAAGGCTCTCATGCCGATAACAATCGTGGACCCATTAAAGAGATCGCTCTTGCTGTTTCCCTTCTTGTATTTGGTACCCTAGCTATTTTTCTAGGTATTTTCATGGCAATCAATAAGGTCGGTGGCGATACAGCTCATGGTAACTCCACAATCCTCTTCAGCTCAGTTTTACTCATCTGATTTCGATTTTGATTTATCTCTAGGGTTTATATTTAGGTCTTTTTTTGGGAATGTATTGTTATTTGAAGAGAATGTTTGTAATGCAGGGATTTTTTTTGCTATACTTGGTGGAGTTCTGTTTATACCAGGGTTCTACTATACAAGGATTGCATACTATGCTTACAAGGGTTATAAAGGTTTCTCTTTTTCCAATATACCTCCTGTCTAGAGTCGATTATCGATTATCGAAGCTCTCCTACATTGTACAGCTACCTCATTTACTCTACCTAGATAAGCTTGTGGAAAAAAAAAATCAGTGTTGCTTCTAATAGGTTACCTCGGGTATTGGATGTTGAATCATTACTTGCTAGACTATGTAATCCTTTAACTCGGACACGATGTAATAATACAAGTGCTTGCGTGTTTATTGATGTTTTTCAATTGAACCGTAGCTTTTTCTTCCAATCTTTGGGCAGAGAGGTTTGCTTGCAAGGTTTAGCAGAACAGTTTTGCTTGCATAGTTTAGTCCAATGCTGGTTTATATTATATGCATCGATGTGGATACACAAATGATTTTTTCTTTGTTGTGCAGGGAGTGATGTTGTTCGTAATATTTAATATACCATTGTTGAAATGAGACCCTCAAAATAACTATTGTATATGCGCCTATATGGGAAGATAATAGTGTCTTAAGTTTGTAAGTTTTTGGTATGCATCTCTTCTTGATGCTTTTTGAATGAAATTTTATTGCTTCATCCAAAAAAATTAGCCCCTCAACAAAAATTGCAAGGGATATCTGGAAATTTTTGGTGTTATATGGGTAGTGTAGAGTCTTTAAAGGGTGTGTGTTGTGGTAGGTTATCTATTTGCTCCATTCAGAAGCCTATCATACAGTCATGAGATTGATGAAGGATTGTCTCTACTGCTAGAGCAATATATAGCAGGATCCTCGTAGAAGTGTCAATGTTTAAGCTATGAATGTGCTAGGCTGTATGTTTTGTGATTCGAGTTATTCAAGTGCAGCATTCAGTTGTTTCAACTGTAATGAATTATATGCTCCAGCTTCTCTGAAAAGAAAATCTTTATAAACTCCTAATTATGAGAACATACTTCCGCATGTCTTAAGAGTTTCTTGTTTGCTTTCTTGGTTGATAAAAATCATGTAAACCCACCCTAGTGGCAATAACCATCCCTCTTTGATTCCTAGGAATGAACAAACCAAAATAAAAATAGCTGTGTGGGTTTGTAGCGATGATCGTTTGTGTAGGTTTTGTATTATGAAGGGTTCATATGGTTTTTTTGTAACCGTGTTTTACCCTGCTTCGTGATGGTAAAATGTTGGGTATAGGTGAAGAGAGAAATGTAAGTAATTTATTTCCATCTATCCAAGAAAATGTCTATGCTGGTGGTAGTAGGTATCCCATGGAATTAGCCGAGATTGTGTGCACCACAATTAGCAAAATGAAACGGTCTATTATAGTAAGTTGGCTATGCTACTCTTGAATGTGTTGCCTATCCAAGTTTGTCTATTAAAGCCTGTGAGATCACTCAATCTTTAAGAGGATCTGGAGTTTCTTCTATTAATTTGGTGTCATTTGGTATGATGCAAAATGACAGATTGAGTGGTTGTTTGGCCACAGGGTTATGAAGTGTGACTATGTAATTTGCAGTGTGCGTGTGTGTGTTTGTCCATGAAACTATTTAGTTATGATAGGGAATGTTGAGCTATAATTGATATCAAGTTTTTCGTCCTTTCTAGTTGGATTCGTGAAATTTGGCGTTACTATGTGCTCTGCACACCACAACTTTATTATTTATATAGAGTTTTTCGTCCTTACAGTTAATTCTTTTCGTTTCAAGTGAATTTAATAATACCTTCTCAAAAAGTACAAAAGCACACTTATGGTGGAAGGTGTTGTATAAGCTGTTGGAAACTTATTCCCCCCTTTTTCACCCACCCCAACCTTAGTCCTTCCCCACAACCCATTACTCTATTCCTCAGCCTCTCCATTAATGCTGTCATCGAGCACCAACACCACCGCTGTATCCATCAACTCCACAATACTATCTATTTAATTACGGTCTTTGTTGGCCATTGTTCTGATCGAGCAATCTCTTTTCTTTGTTCAATTCTGTCTTTACCAAACAACACTGACTTCTTACCAACTCACTAAGGGTTGTGAGGCTTGATTAGGTTTGAAGAATGAATCTATATTTGTGCACATAAATTGTTGGTCGGTGGCCACTCAACTAACTGTTCGAGTGCAATGCATTGGTGTTAGTTTGACGAAGGTAGAATGTCTGATCAGTGTCTGATCAGGGTCTAATACATTAGATAGCAGGCGTGAGTGCAATGCATTGGTGTTAGTTTGGTGTTAGTTTGACGAAGGTAGAATGTCTGATCAGGGTCTAATACATTAGATAGCAGGCGTGAGTGCAATGCATTGGTGTTAGTTTGGTGTTAGTTTGACGAAGGTAGAATGTCTGATCAGGGTCTAATACATTAGATAGCAGGCGTGAGTGCAATGCATTGGTGTTAGTTTGGTGTTAGTTTGACGAAGGTAGAATGTCTGATCAGGGTCTAATACATTAGATAGCAGGCGTGAGTGCAATGCATTGGTGTTAGTTTGACGAAGTAGAATGTCTGATTACGGTCTAATACGCAGGCGTGTTCGTTTTGGCTCCCGAGCGAGAACGATATATAGGCGATGCATCACCAATAGCAACATCATCACACTTAACTCTATAATACCCATCACCAACAATAATACATGCATATGATGAAAGATTTATTGGCTAGCCTAAGTTGATGACATTCGAGCAGTTGTGTGCAACGAGGAATTTCACAACAGTTATGAAGAAATCATTTGGACTGGTGATGGGGTAAAATTTGTTCCCTTACACAGGTTTTTAGAGTTTAGTGTCACGTCCCGCCACTTCACAGTTCAAATTTGGCACCGGAAAAAGGGAGAAGAATCTAGAATTGTTGGGAGGTTAGTAGAACACTCTACTCTAAGTCCGTGACATTACACTATGCATAAGTTTTGATGTAAATAAGTAAGACTTTTGCAGAGGGAGGGAGGCCAAAGGTCACGTTTCCAAACGAATTAGTGTAACACAACCAAATTATACAAGCAAGTAATGAATAGATGTGCGTGTCACAAATTCATTCATTGTTGTGCACCTGGAAGGTGATTTTGATTATTCATTTATCAAAAGGAAAACATAACTGATTTGTGTTTAATAAATATTGTACCGTTGAGTGCTTCCCTCCAAATTGCTCGCGGTAATATCAGTAGGTGGATAGGATACCAAAATGACAAGTAGAAACAGCAAAATCCCTTAACTGAAAGAAACTTTCTACCAGTAACACAAGTACATAGATATATATTGTAATAGATAACATAAATAACTTCACAAGCAGCACTGTTAGCTGCTGCACCATACAACGCGACATTGTTAGCTGCGGCACCATAGCAGCTAAAAATGTGTGACAATCACACATATATATGACAAGACGAAACAAATAGCACATCCTGACAAGATTTTATACCTTCTCCATTGGCATATCATACATTCTCTAATTTGCTAGCTAAGACTTTTGCTTTTTCTTCGGCCTGGTTCTGTGCACAAAACATTTAATAAGCAACAACAAAAAAAGCCAAAAACAAACGTCTCACAGAGCAATTAAAAGTGATCTGACAATGAGTACGAGTTACAAATACACCAAAAAGTATAACCATTGCATTTCATGGACCTTAGATTTGCAGGTACGATTTAAATTGGTATCAATGTTTGTCTCAGCCTGATTTATTAGTAACATTTCATTATTTATTTTTGTGATAGCCATTGTGGCACGCACCCCACGAGACTCATACCACAATTTTAGACCCTTTAAAATGAGAAATATTTTACTTGAGCCAAGGATCTATCAGAAATAATATCTCCACATTCACAAGATAGGAGTAAGGTGCGTACACACCACTCTCCCCTCATGGAATTACACTAGGTATATGTTATTATCAAATGAAAATATAATTTTCTTTTTTTGGAAGAAAACATACTTTGCCTAGTTAAGTTAGGAACATACTATTTGTGATTCTGTGTAGAGACATCAATCAAAAAGGTAGAATTAGAAGGAAATGTAAGCAGACACCAAAATCGGAACTCTCCCTATCATGCTCTCAATTTAGAGCATGTTGTATTCATCATTCAAACATTAGGAAGTTTTCAGATAACTAATGATTCATGTAGAAAATTCCTGACCAGTTAAACGTCAGTTTCTAACTCTATGGAACGAGGCAATTCTTTATCCTTTATCAAACGAAACCCACTAAATGCTAAAGAAAGCAAAAACATGTCATATACACTTCCAATTACAATATTTGTTTGAGATAGGAAGTAGCTTCTTAGATCCTTTATTAAACAAAACCCAATAAATGCTAAAGAAAACAAAAACATGTCTCCGATGATGACATGTTTGTGACCACAAGTTCAAACATTACCTTTGATATGTGCCAAAAGTCTTTTTTTCTTATACTCTTTACACTGCCATATAAACTAAAATGGAGGTACTACAACATAAGAAGCATAACTTCATCTTATCTTACCAAAAAACCCATAAGAGCCCC